TTTTTTTTTTTTTTTTTTTTTGAGACACAGTCTCAGCCTGGAATGCACTGGCACAAGAGAATCACCTCCCAGGTTCAAGCCATTCTCTTGTTTCAGCCTCCCTAGTAGATGGGATTACAGATGTGTGTCTCCAGGCCTGGCTAATTTTTATATTTTTAGTAAAGACGGGGTTTCACTATGTTGGCCAGGCTGGCCTCCAACTGACCTCAAGCAATCCACCCGCCTTGGCCTCCCAAAGTGCTGGGATTACAGGCGTGAGCCACTGCTCCCTGCCACTTTTTGTATTTTTAAAGTAGTAAATAAACGTTAAAACCATGACAATAAAATAAAATGCAGAAATTTAAAACAACACATTTTTTTTTTAAATGCAGGACTTGAGCCTAGGAAAGGTTTTGAATTTAGATATTGCTCAAAACCTTAAATTCCTCTGGGGTCCAGGCAGTAAGGTAAGTGGGCGAGGCTGCCTGGGTGGGACAGGGAGAAGCTGAAGCAGCCGGCCAGGGGCTCCACTCCCTCAGCCTCTGCCAGATGCTGTCCTTTGGAAGACAGGCAAAGGAGAAGGGAAAAACATGATTAGAGAAATAGGAAGAGAACAAAAATTATCTCCCAGGCTGAGGCGGGCGGATCACCTGAGGTCAGGAGTTTGAGACCAACCTGGGCAACATGGTGAAACCCCAACTCTACTAAAAATACAAAAATTAGCCAAGCGTGGTAGCACATGCTTGTAATACCAACTCGGGAGGCTGAGGGAGGAGTACCACTTGAACCCCGGAAGCAGACATTGCAGTGAGCCAAGACTGCGCCACTGCACTGCAGCCTGGGTGACACCGTGAGACCCTATCTCAAAAAAAAAAAAAAAAATTATCTCCCATAAGAGTTAAGCAAGGAGAGGTTTTAGTGTGGGATAGGAAGTGGAGTGAAATTCTACAGGAGGATCAGAGGCAGTGCACCAAGGAAGCAGGTCATTGGTGGCCTTTGAGTGTATTCCTGGTGCAAGCTAGGTGGTAGATATTTAAGGACTGGTGAGGAAGAGGAGGTAGCCAATAGGAGCCATGCCTGGGGCTGGGCACGGTGGCTCACGCCTGTAATCGCAGCACTTTGGGAGGCCGAGGCAGGCAGATCACCTGAGGTCAGGAGTTCGAGACCAGCCTGGCCAACACGGTGAAACCCGATCTCTACCAAAAATACAAAAAATTAGCCAGGAATGGCAGCACACGCCAGTAATCCCAGCTACTTGGGAGCCTGAGGCAGACAAATCACTTGAACCCAGGAGACAGAGGTTTCAGTCAGCTGAGATCACACTACTGCACTCCAGCCAGGGCAACAGAGCAAGACTCTCAAAAAAAAAAAAAAAAAAAAAAAAAAGTAGCCATGCTTCGAAGCCAGGAGAAGCAGGAAGAAGAAAGCTTTGATAACTCAGGAAAGAGATACACTTGCTCAGGTGCTTAAAATCACACATAGTTCACTGTGGCATCACATCTGTTCCTAAGAGCCAAGAACAACCTAACTGTCTGTCACTGGGTGCCTCATAATATAAGACTATAAGGCCATAAAAAAGAATGAGAGAAGCCAGATGCAGTGGCTCACACCTATAATCCCAGAACTTTGGGAGGGCAAGGTGGGCAGATCACAAGGTCAAGAGTTCCAGACCAGCCTGGCCAATATAGTGAAACCCCATCTGTACTAAAAAT